GCTGAGCTGCCAAGCTCTGGCCCCGCTGCCCCTCGCTGGAGCCTTCGCCACTGAGCCTCGCACACGCTGGGCTGCGATGCCACCAGTCCCCTCGGGCTTTCTTGCTCTTTCGCTTTACCTTCTCTTTGCCCCGTTCCCCCACATTTAGTCCTGCGTTTCCCATCAAGTCTTCACACCTCCTCCTCCAGCCATGTGGTTAGCGCATCATCCCTTCCCTAAGCTGTTTCTTTCCTCCCAGCCTAATCATTTTCCCCTTTCTGCAGGGCATCCTCCCACCTCGATTGCTCAGCCGTGCTCGCCTTTGTCCTGGGATTGCTGCCGAAGATTTCTCCATCCACGCTCTCCAGAGCACCGGTCAGCATGTATTGCTCACACGGAGCTTTGCTGGAGCTCCAGCGAGGCCTGCAGCGCGCACGTCCTTCTTGAGCAGGTCCCCAACCCGCAGCTCCAGATGCTTTCAATATTAGCAATAACTGGGGGGATGATGTTCCTTACCATCCTACTGCGTCTTCCCCGCCGACCTGCGTGATCCAGAGGAGTGGGAGAGCCGCCGTTGCAGGGGCCGGCGCTCCCCGCGCAGGGTGAGCTCATCGGCACCGCACCCACCCCTGCGTGTGCCCACGCACGGCAAACGGCAGCCACACGTCTGAGGCAGCCCCCCAGAGAGCCCTGCTCACCACAGCGTGTCTCGTTAGCTAATGAGCAAACACAGAGCAGCCCCAGCTAGTCCTGGCTGAGGTGGAGACCAAATTGCACGCAGAACCCCGACCGTCCGCAGAGCTTAACAAGGCACAAATTATTTTCAGATGTTTCTACCACATAAACAGGGGGAAAGAAGCGTCCAGTAATGCAACAGAGCAGAGATGAACTCACAGGGCCCTTCAGCATCTCCCAGGAGGAACGCTCTGGAGCTGGAGTGGGAATCTGACCCACCCCTGCTCGTTCTTTGCCTCGTGCCAATAGTGTGTTCATTTTGCAAGGAAAGCAAAGCTCTGTCACTGAAACGTGATTTCTCGCTCCTGTCTGCAGCACTATTGCAGACAGCACTGCTAACCCCATCCCACAAACTCCCATTCCCCGAGGGCTTCCCTGCCCAGCCCCCAAGGCCTCTGGGGTGGGATTCAGGGTGGGATTCTTCTACCCAAACTGCAGGCATCTGCACTGAGGTGGATAAAATTTACCCTCCAGGTAAAGAATACACCTACCTTGCTGCCATTGCCAGCCAGGGTGTTTCTCCTTCAGTGCACTGAGTCCTCCCAGCCTAAAATAGATGGAATAAGGTGACTTAAGGCCAGCTTCTGACTGCTCAACCATGAGATGGTGCACGGCAGCAGTTTTTTGCTGAGGACCCACCAGTCCTGGTCTGGAGCAGGTCATCCAGCCCAAGAGCCTTGTTTGCTTTCTTCCTCATGAATGCTTGCAGGGAGTACTCCTGTTTGAAATGTGGCCTCTGAGGACCAGCTGAAGGAGAGCTCTTTCCTGGTGCTTGTTATGTTTAACGTGAACATGTGATTACATGAATTTGCTTCGTTCTTCTCCGCTGGAAACAGGAATTTCCTCCCTTCTGCTTGAAACCCATGAGAAACTGTGATCTTTCCACAAGACATGGTTAAGACCCAATGAAATAGATATCCATCAGCACGTGAAGTGCAGCACTTTTACTGCTGCAGCTTGCTAAAACTGCTTCAAAGCCTGGTGAGCCACACACCTGCCCATTACAGCCAGGCAGTGCTGGCTCTGCACTGGCCAGGAGTGGTGCAGAGCAGCCCACGGGCACTGCACAGGATCGTTCAACACCTCATCTCCATCAGCATCCCCCCCTGCATGCACATGCAGTGCTCCTTGGAGCACTGATCCTGTGTCATGAGGTGTTAATGGGGCTGCACTGTATATGGATTATAATCCAAGCAGGGAAATGGTGGTGTTGGCCTGTGCTTGTGGCCACTGCTGGCCACATGTGGCCCCGGGGAGCCCTGCAATGCTCTGAGCCAGCACAGCCCCTTCTCCTTTACCTTCTTACAGCCTAACCTTGCCTACCTGTTCTGTGAGCACAGCTGGGACACACCAGGAGCACAGAGGCCTGTGTTTATCTGGATTGCTGGTTACCTAGACAGATGATTTGATTTTGACCTGCTTTGTTCAGTGTTTATGCCAAGAAAGCATCCCAGTGCCTGGCAAGCACAGCAGAGAGCATCAGACTGCAGCCCTTGCAGGGAGAGCCGAGCTCTCCTTGCCCTCTGGAAACACACGGGCTTTGCAGTGCCCCCTGTGCTGACGTGAAGAAGTGGCACAGCCCTGGCAGCCGTCCTAGCAAACAGGGAAGAGGTCCAGAAAGGCCTGGGATTTCGTCTGGGGAGGATTAATAACACAGAAACCCAAGCGAAGTCCCACGGAGTTTCAAATGCAGGTGGCCTGGCCAGGAGCCAGAGAGGGAACTGCCAGGAGCGAGAGGACAGGGATTCCCTTTGGGGAATGCCTTTCCAGGGTGGATCACTGGACCTGCATCCCCTTGTTAGGGAACAAACCAGATTCCTGGGTGCCAGCAGCTGGTCAGGTTTTCATCCCCAGCCCTGTGTGTGTGGGGGGAGAGGGATCCTGTGGACAGGAGAAGTGGGGTTGGTACTGTGGAGAGAAATATCTCCTCCTCTTCCTCACGACCCTGCAGCTCCTGGTGTGCCACTGGCAACACTCTTTCTGGCCCAGGGAGAGCAGTGTGGGCTGCTCTGAGCACCCAGCCCCAGCAGTGCCCTTTCTCACACACTGTGGGGGTGTTGGTGCAAAATGCTTGGAGTACAGATGCCTCCAGATTGGATGCCAAGCTGGGAATGGTGCTGCTGACCTCCAGAAAAAAATATTGACATTTTTCAGAGTGCAAATGAAATACCTTTTGCTTTCAAAGAAAAAGAAAAAAAAAAACCCTTCTACTAACAAGCAGCTGTGTTGCAACTTGAATTTCCTACAATCCACTCAATTTTCATGAAGTTCAAAAACCTAACAGTGGGTGGAAAGACTTTGAAGCCTCTGTCACCCTCAGGCACCAGCAGACAGTGCAGATATTATTTGTGGGGTCACTCAGTGGCCAAGGAGGGACACAGAGGTGACTTTGGCCTGGCAGGTCCGTGCTCCTGGTGAGGTGCTGGATGTGCCACGGGCTGAGCTGGCAGCAGGCCCACAGGGACTGGGGGGAGTTAAGCCCACAGAAGAGGTCCAAAAATAAAACCAAGCCCTGCCATCCTTGTCTGGAGCTTATTCAGCCCAAACCAGGACAGACAATTCACTTCACAGGTGTGTTCAGCAAGACCATGTGGGGCTGAGGACCAAAACCAGGAGGGGAGGAGGGAGAGAAGCCAAAATGCTGAGGATCTGGGATGGTGGTGGTGCCCCAGACCACTCACAGCCACAGGAGCTCCTGCCCAGCAGAGCACGAGGAAATCACATCAAAACTCAACCCCTTCATTTTCTGCCCAGATTAATTGCAGTTGATCATTCCTAGCTCCAGCCACAGGGAATGTGTGTGTTTGCAGTGCCAGGAGGAGGTGGAGGAGTGGAAATGATATACAACTAGGATTTCGTGGGTAGCCCTTATGGAAATATTTATTTTCACCTTTTTTTCACCCAGAAAATCCACTCAGATCAAAATGGCAATTTTCATTTTGGTCAACCCAGAGGGGGAATTGACCAGGCAAAAAAAAAAAGAAAAAAGGAAAAAAAAGCATGTGTAAAGAAGGCTATGATTTCCAAAATATTTAGGAAATGTTGCTTAACAAAATAGCTTCCTTCTCCCCAGTCTACTTCAACACAAAAAGGAGCTTTTAACATATATATATATATAAAACAGATATATATATATATGTGTGTGTTTCATATGGAAGGAATAAAAATGTCATGGAAGAAGTAAGATGAAACTCCCAAAATATCTGTTATGTAGCCTGAAAGACTCTTATCATTTTCCAATCCACTCTTGGCAAGAGATGAAATAATATTGCTTCAGAATTTCAAAACTGGGCAGATTTATTTCCAAGAGGCACACGAGGACTCTTACAGAGCAGTCAGATACGGAGTGCAGTGGCCAAGGGTGTGATCAACCCTTGCTATTGGAATGCAGGCCTGGAAGAGCCCAAATCCAAATTGCACAAATTAGCTTGTAGTTGTTGATCTGTAATTCTGGGGGGCCTGGGTTTTGAACAGCCACTTGCATCTAAATATCCAACTTCTGCTAACGGGGAGTGGATACAGAAGGAAAAAATGAGCCCCATGGAGTGTGAGCTCTGTGACCAGTGGTTGAATGTCATGGTGGTGTTTGGGGTCCCTGCTTGTCCCCCCACCAGGGCTGGGTGTCAGCCACTGGTGTCACACTTGATCCCAGTACTCAGAGCCACTCCTGCTGATGAAGAAGAGGAGCACAAGAGGTAGGAACGTGCACATCAGCTTGCAAATGCCAGAGGCCCATCCCCAGAGCACTGTGAGAAATGATGTCAGGTGGACCAGCAAGGTTTTGCAGCCTGTAGCCAGTAAGTGCATCCTCCAGGTGGCTTCTAACCTGCTGCACGGGACAAACCTTGAAGGAGAACATTCAAGACTGGCAATAAGGAGTGATTTAGTTCAGCTCAGACAGAAGAGCATCATGGAAAGGGACTCAAACACAGCATTAGCCACAATGAAGTTCAGCATCTCCTAAGTTCCTGTGTTAACTCAATTAAAAAAAAAAAAGCCTTCCCATTCAGTCACTCATAAATGAACTGAAGGGGTTCATAAAAGAGCTGAAGAATTTTGGTTGGTCTGTCAGCAATAAGCTACATTTTTGAAGACAGAGATATACGATCTTGATGTAAAAATATATACTTGGTAATTGGAGAAAAAATAATTCAGTTACTGACAACCAGCTTGCAAAGAACTTACTCAGCTAAAATAATAGGGCTTTGTGTAAATCTAGCAAATCTTTACACAAATCTTTAAGAATAGTTTTGGCATAGGCAAGTAACAGACTAAGAAGCTGAAATTTCAAAGTAAAATCAGCTCTGTTTCAGAAACATAGATCCACTCTCCAGCAAACACTAATTTAACCATGTCAAACTGTAGTTAGTTAGATTTAAGGAACAATAATATTTAGTGTAAAAACTATTCCAAACAATTAATTTCATGGGTTCTGATCTAAACTTTGTCAGGTCCCCCTGTGCTGCCCAGTAAATGGCAAAAGGTAAGACTGGGAAGGTGGCTTCTCTTCCTGGTGTCTCACTGCTTTGCTGGTTTGGTCCTTCCCCGCTGTTCCTGATTTTTCAGGTTGAAACAGGAGCCAAGGAAGAGGAGGGGATTACCAGCTTCCAGAAGTTTTATGAGCTCTGTGTCTGGCCTGTGTAGAGTG